TCAGCTTGAGGCTATAACTTCTCAGAAAGATAGACTTGCCCCTTTACTCAGAAACAAAAACCAAAGTGATTTCTTTTTAGTTCTTGGTAAGGGCTGTGCAGTAGCCTGAGTGATGCCACAAAGATAGCAGTACCAGTAGATATACTGGATATCCTAGTACCTAGTACCTGGGGATGTGACCTGATTTATAAAAAGATTTTTTGCAAATCTGATGAAATTAATAATCTTGAGATGAGGATTATCCAGTGAAGCTTTAAATGCAGTCAGAAGTATCCTTAGAGAAGCAAAGGGCTATTATAGATCAAAGAGGAAGAAGTAATCAGGATTTGGAGGGTGAGGTCGGATTGATTTGGCCACAGCTAAGGAATACTGACATCTGGAAGAGGCAAACAATGGAGCCTCCAGATGCCCTTAAACGCAGTGATTTCAGCCCAATCATGCTGAGTTTTGGGTTTTGGAGTCCAACACTGTGAAAATAAATTCTGTTCCTTTAAAAATCAGCAAGAGAGGGTGTGAAAGGGGTTTCCTAGTTCTCCTTTATACAGAGGGGGCACTTCTTTGGGGTCTCCATTAAGCCCCTATCTTGGGTATCCCCACTTTGTCTTCTATTCCCTGAGTCTGCTGCAGAGTTAAAATCTCTCAGAGTTTATCAGACACTTTCAAAGTGAAAGAGGGCACCTGACTAATTTGTCTAGTTTGGGGGCTTTCTGAATATTTTTTTACCTTCCAGCTAAGAAATATTGTAAAAGTTGTTTTAAAACATTGTACTGAGAATTTTCTTTGATTTTATCTAGGATCAGGGGGTTACCTTGGCATATTGTGGGGAATGGAAATCTGCACAGCTGTCATTCATGTTGAAAAATGATGGTGGCAGCTGGGCATGGTGGTGGCACATGCCTATAATCCTAGCACTTGGGAGGCTGAGGCAGGAGGATTGCCATGAGTTTGAGGCCAGCCTGGGCTATATAGTGAGTTCAAGGCCAGCCTGAACTATGTAGCAAGACCCTATCACAAAAAAACCGCACAAAAAATAAAAACCAGACACACACACAAACAAACCAAAAATTAGAAAAATGATAGAGGCATTCCTTTATCACTTACCATGCTAGCAGCATGGGCAACTCATCATCAAACAGTTGTTGTGAACAGCTGAGCTGTTAGGAGGATGGTGCTATGGATGGGGTGTGATTTGCCCCCATCCAGTGTTTTCTGTGTTGGAAGCTTGGCACCCTGGGTGTGGTGCTGAGCAGGTGGAACCTCTAAGAGGTGAGACCTAGTAGAAGATCACTGTCATGGGGCTCTACCTCATGAATGGATCCATGCTGTCTCTTGGGACTAGATTAGTTCCCATGAGAGTGGGTTGTTATGAGCAAGCCTCACACCTTCCCCAAATCCCTCTTCTGCCCTTGCTCCAGCTATTGTGATTCCACCCATTGTGAGGTCCTCACCAGAGCCAAACTAATGCTGGGGCCATGATCTTGAACCACCAGAATGAAGAACTAAATAAACTTCTTCCTTTATGAAATATCCAGCCTCAGGTATTGTGTTATAGCCACACAAAACTGACTAAAAGACATGGCAACTACATGAAGGGACTTGTTTTCAGCACTAAGCAAACACCCACTGGTGGGAGTTGAGTACCAGTGTGTGGGGTGGAGGTGAGAAGACAGAAGATAGTGCACTTCTCAGTGTGGCTTTGGCCTTCGTTACCAAGCTACCTCTGGTTCTGTCGTTCCTAACAAGATGGTGGTAGCAGCTTGGTCGTCAACTACTGGCCCAGGAGGACCCATGCTTTCTCCCCCTCCCCCTCCCCTTCCAGTGTGCGTTAGTTACTTTTCTCATCACTGAGACAAAATATCTGACACCCAAAGTTAATGGAAGAAAGGTTTATTGGGCTTACAGTTCATAGAGGTTTCAGTTCATAGTTGGCTGGCTTCAAGGTAGGGTGACTTCACAGATGGGCATTGCAGAGGGGAAACAGTGTATGGCGGGCAGAAGACAGCAAGTAGCAAGTCCAAGCAAACATAGTAGCTTCTTTCTGCCCCTTTTGTATTCTATCTAGGCTTAGGGTGGGTGTCAAACCAATCAATGGGCTGATTTAGTAATCACACACTCTTAATCCCAGCATCCTTAATCCTAACATTATGCCATGAATCAATCCCAGCATCACACACTCTAGATCCAGCCACCTCTGAAAAGCCCCACCTGTGATTGCATGAGGCTTTGCGGGGGCATCTAGACATAAGCCATAATGCAGTGCATCTCCCATTCTTGGGAGACTGTTCTCTCCAGACTCCAGTAAGGCTATCTCAGGGATTTAAGACAAGAGCGACAGAGATAAGATAGAGATAGATATATATAGAGAGAATAAGAGTGAATGAATCTCATCCCTGCCTTATTCCAGGTGGACTTCTGGGGCTGGCAAATTCACATTCACTCCATTTCACTCTCCAGGGATCTCTCAGAATTTTAGATGCAAACACGGAAACCAGCTCTAGTTGACAAAGCAGAAGAGCAGATTTTCAGTGTGATCATGGAACTCCCAGGGCCTCTTGAAGTTGAAGAAACAGCCCTGGGGGTTCCAAGCAGGAACAGTGTCCAGTTCTGATCCAGTCTGGTGGGAACATCTTGGTACCACTGCTGAGCGCTTGACCACTGGGCGTTTCTCCCAGGATACCTTCTCTTGTCCCTCAAAACTGGGGTGGAGCCTGAGGTGAGGTTTATTTCCTGGCAGTAAGGAGGGCTGAGAAAACAAGCCACTCAGCAGGGGGAGGGGCCACACTTCAAGGCAGAAGAGCCCCCAAACACGTGAAGGGATGCAGGTGCGAGGGAAGCAGAAAGAACTCCAGTATCTGCGCAGGGGCGGGATTAAGGGCAAGGGGGCTCCTTGTCGCCTCTCCTAACCCAGCCCCCTCCCTAGGGGCTAGGACTTCAGACAGCTGTCAGCCCCACATCCAGGAGAAGAGCTTCACTGGGGAAGAGGATGCACTTTTCTTTGGTCCTAAGACTATCCCGAGTTAGAGCGAGAACTTCAGAGGCACTATAAACTGGAAATAGGGCAGTTGTTCCCTCATGATGTTATAAAATAACTGAAACCCTGGACTCTAATGAAGGTAAGAAAGTTCAATAACTTCTGTTCCCTCCACCCCTTAATGCTTCCTTCTAAGGTCTCCAAGCAACGTGTGGATGAGGAGCCTCCCGCTAGGGCAGGAATGCGGTGGTGGGCAGGGACTTCTTAGTGACCTGAAGCCAGCAGGTGGGGAATAGCTAGTGGGATGTCACCCAGGAGCTACATGTGGGCCTGGACAAGATGACAACCCTATCACCAAGCACAGGGCACACTGCACAGGGACTCTGATCCTGGTGAACCCACTGGACATCCTGTGAGCAGCCACCTTCAGACCGGTAGAACAGGACGGTGACGTGAGCAGGTCCCCTGTCCCCCTGCGTTCTGGAGCACGGGCACTCCATCCATCTGTCCTGGGAGTTGGCACTGTCCCCAAGGGAGGGAGGGAAGGACAGCTGCTGAGACAGATGCAGGAGGGTCTAAGTGTTCTTACCACCAAAAATGGTAATAGCGGGAGGCTACAGAAGAAGGCTCACAAACTTGAGTCAGTCCGGGGCTGGGGATTTAGCTCAGCGGCAAAGCGCCTGCCTGGCAAGCACAAGGTCGTGAGTTTGGTTCCCGGTACCGGAGAAAAACCGAAAAACCAAAAACCAAAAAAAAAAAAAAAAACTTGAGTCAGCCTGGGCTACTTAGCAAGAGCTGGTCTCAAAATAAAAAACAAAGAATGGCTGGGGATGTAGGTCAGTGCAAAGGCCCTGGCTTCAATCCCTACCATCCCCCATAAAAAGTGAACTATTTCATTTACTTATTTACTATTTTGAGGTGGTGGGGACTAAAGCAAGGGCCTCACACATGCTACGCAAGCACTGTACTGCTGAGCTCCATCCCCAGCCCAGTGTCAAGTGATTTCAAACAGTGATATTCCTACAGGGGGAATAATGGGTCTGCTTTACTGAGAAATCTGGCACAAAGGGAGGACACCATTGCTGGCCTATGTTTTCAGAGGCTGTCACACCTAGGAGAGGATGTTGCGCTAGACCATCTGCCATTCATTGAGTGCCCATTATGAGCTGGCATTTTTATATGTGTATTATTAATTCTTAAACCTTTTCATTCCCGCAGGCAGATGGAGAAATGGAGAAGCCATGGGTCAGTAAGTGTCTGAGGTGCACAAAGCCCAGAGACCTTCTATTCTTTTAAGCTTCCTAGACCAACAGCTCCTGTCTGACTTTGGGACCTAAGGCTCGGCCAGTGCCTGTTCAACAGCAGGCAGGGACAGAGAAATACCTGTTGAAGGAAGGGACGTCAAAAATGGCGAACTGGAGCTGGATGTGCTGGTGCACGCCTGTAATCTCAGCATTTGGAAGGCTGAGGCAGGAGGATCACCGTAAGTTTGAGGCCAGCCTGAGCTACATAGTGAGAACCTGCCTCAAAAAAACCAAAAAAGGAAAAATAGTGCACTGGAGCCTCATTTACTATCTAACAATTAAACAAATGTGGTACTTGTAACACTGTTATGGTTTGGATTGTAAAGGTCCCTCAAAGGTGCACATGCTAAAGTCTTGGATGACAGTCTGCCATGCTACTGGGAGGCGAGGGAAGCTTTCAAAGGCGGGGCCTACTGTGAAAGGAAGTGAGGTCACAGGGGTGCTGCCCTTAAGAGGATACCTGGACTCCAGCTCCTGCCTCTCTCTCACTTTTCTGGTGACCGCTGAGTTCTCAGTGTCACCTATGATGTGCCACCAAAGCTCCAGAGCGACAGGGCTAAGATAACACAGATGGAAACCTCTGGGTTTTTTGTTTTTGTTTTTCTTTTTGGTACCAGGAATCAAACTCAGGACCTTGTGCTTGCCAGGCAGGTGCTTGTACCACTGAGCTATATCCCTGGCCCAAGGTGGAAATCTCTGAAACCACGATGCGAAGTAAATCTTTCTTCCTTTTAAGTTGTTTATGTCAAGTATTTCATCACAACAACAAAAGCTAACACAAACACATTAGATGAGACGCAAGCTTGGACAGAGCTCGAGCCATACACAAAACACACAAGGGTAGAAACGGAAACCCCTTCGACTCCCCGAGCATGAAGGGTTCCCGTCTGTCCAGTGTGGTGCTGACCACTGTTGACTTGAGGATAGTTTTCTGGTTGGTCTGTTGACGCTGTGGAAGGATTTTATAGCACCTCCATTTTTTATTCCTCACAAATATTCCTGTTTCTCACAGTTCAAATCCAGTCCTTACTGAAGTGAGCAAAAAAGGCTGAAAATTACACTCAGTGGCCAATGTTTTTTTATCATTAAAGTCTTTGTAAAGTAGTGAGTCCATGGTATGGACTTTGGTTTTGGTTTCTTTAGACAGTGTCTCATTGTGTAGGTCAGGCTGGCCTTGAACTCATGGAGATTCTCCTGTCTCAGCCTTCTGACTGCTAGGATTACAGGCATGCACCACCACCGTGCCTGGCTACCACCTAGTTCTTCAGTTACGTGGACAAGTCCACTGTCTGAGAGTTGTAGATTCGGTGTTTGCTCAGCTGGTCATGCTGACCACGCTCTGAGGCGGACGGGGGTAGAATGGAGTCATTATGGCCCACTAAGCAGGTTTCCTCCTTGGAAACTAGCTCTGGAGGTCCTGGTCCAGATGGGGTGTCAAGGCTACAACTGTCACCAGGATTCTGCTTGCTGTTTTCCAAGTTTTCTGTAATAACACTTAGTTTGTCGAAAACTTCACTCTCCTCAGAGAGCGGAGAGGTGAAAAACAGAAGTGTGTTGTGTGGGTGGCCCAAAAACTGTAGGAGAAAACAAAAAAAGGACAGTTAATGATCAAAGTCCCCCATTTTCTTTTCTGGGCTTGCAAGACTTTTATGCAGAACTTCTGGCTTGGAAAATGCTGTTTTAAAAATGTAACATAAGCCAGAGATGGTGGACCCGCCTGTAATCCCAGCAGGCGGGAAGCTGAGGCAGGAAGATCGCTGCAAGTTCAAGGCTACTCTGGGCTACATAGTGATGCCCTGTCTAAAAAATAGGTAACATTAATGTTATAGTGGTTTCTTACAAAATTAAAACTAGAATTATCTTATGACCTAGCAATTACATGCCTCAGTATATTCTCCAGAGAAATGAAAGTGCCCATCAAATGTCCTGAGGCAACTGTGTCTCGTAGGAATGTATCATAAGCCAGGGTCTGGGGTGAGAATATGGGAGCTAGTGTTTAGTGCATGTAGAGTTTCCATTTTGGAAGACGAAAATGTCCTGGAGACGGTGCACACCACCATGAACTTACTTAATGCACTCTTAGAAACAGTTAAGCTGTCTGTCTGTCTGTCTGTCTATCTGTCTCTGGGAGAAGCAAGGCTAGGGATCGAACCCAGGGGCTTGTGCTTTTAGCTTGATCACAGAGCTGTGGGGCTGACACAGCCTGGCTGTCATTTCTTCCAGGAAGCAGGAATGCTGCAGGTCTTGGAATAACACACAGTGTCTCCAGCACATCCTCAGGCTTTGTTAACAGCCTCTCTGGCATCCCTAGCATCCTGTGTGTCCCCTGACTTCAGCCCTTCGTCCTGTCCTGAGATGTGGTAGCCAGGAACCAAATGTGGCTACCTGTCATGCAGCTAGTAGAAATCAGTGCGCATTCTGAGTGTGAAATACAAACCAGATGTTGAAGATCATCCGTGAGAAAGAACATAGTCTAGCTTAATAACTTAAAAATATATTGTTTAATATTGAAATGGTGTTTTTTTAGATATATGGGGTACATAAAATACGTCATTAATGTTCCTTTCACCCATGTCTTTTTACTTTTTTATAAATGTGTCTACTAGCAAATTTAAAATATAGGTGGCTCATGCTACGTTCCTACGAGCCAGTGTTGCCTCAGGACATTGTCACAGCTTGTCTCTCCCATACCCAGGGCCAGTTACAGACAGGGACCACGGTCCAGTCATCCAGGTCTCCAATACCCTGAACAATGTAGATGTGCATACGCTGTCGGAAATCTGTTGATTTCTGTTCTCTACTTATCCTTATAGATCCAGCAATAGCCTAAATTATCAGGATTCAATGGAGAAACATTCTTTATAGCTTTGCATCTTTTGGGAATCCCCTCCAGATGAAACTTCCTTGGTTTCCTCCTCAATCCACCCATCTCTTCTTTCCGTGATGTAAGGTCCACACTTGGTCTTCTGATATGACTCAGCTGGGGTGCAGAGTGGCTGCCCTACCTGCTGGTCACTATTTCCCCTCTTGGTTCTTGAGCAGCTGACAGAAGGGCGTGGGGAGACCAGGGGTATTATATCCAGATCCTGGCTGGGCCAGGGAGGAAGTCAGGGGAAAAGGGAGCTCTCTGAACCCTTAGATCCTTAGGTTCATGAGACTGGGCTAGAAGATACCACTTGGTTTTCCTGGGAAAGAGCAAGGAGAGGAAAACAAGAGGAAATGCACTAGGCTGAGTCTCTTGGTTGGACACACAGAGCAACAGGTGGTCAGCTCATCATGGTTTATATCTAGATGTCCCCCTAAAGCCCATAGGCGGACCTTTGGAAGCTGATTAGATCACGGGGGCCAATGGCTGGCTCACTGTTAAGACACTGGGTTTTGGGGGGAAAAGATGGATCCCTGGGGTTCACCCCCCAGCTCCTCTCCTCTGGCTCTGCTTCCTATCCACCATGCTGTGAGCAGTTCTCCTCCTCCACGCCCCTCTGCCATGCTGCCCTGCCTTGGAGCCAGTGGGTTCTGGACTCAAAATGTGAGCCAGCATAAATCTCTCCTCCTTTCACTTGAGGGTTCTGGGTATTACGTCCCAGCAAGAAGACAGTGATTAAAACATAGCTCCTAAAACACAGCTCAACACTCTACATCGGATAAATTTCCCTATGGCTTTTTCATCTCAAAGTCTTCCACTCCAGCAAATCTCCCTAAATTCAAAACGACTTGACTCTCCGGGTCATGGTTAACCCCATCTGTACTTGATGGCCAAACTGGAGATTTTGATGACAATCCCGATCTGCTCTGTAGTTTTCTTTGCCCTCGCTGTCTGGCCCTTCTCCAGCACCCAGAAGCCTTCCAGCTCTTAGATTATTACAGGGCCAGAGAGCCTGGGGAGGGAGAGTTCTTTCCAGCAGATCCCTGAAGGACAACAAAATTGTCTTGGCTTTGATTTGCCATCTGTTCTTTCCCATCTGACCAGTTTCTTTGATGGTGAAGCCAAGTGGCAAAAATAGTAGATGAATAGTTTATGTTTTTTCCTGGTTCACAGTTAACAAAACACCTTCTGCCCATAGCAAGGGGCCTGGCCCTCTTTGTTCTGCTTGTTCAGCTGTGGCTTTGCAAAAGCTCAGCCTGGAGTGTTCCTGACTCTTTCTGGTACCGCAGGGCCTGAAGGTGCTTCTTGTAGAAGGTCCTAGCTGCTCTGAATCACTTGCCTGCGGGCACAAGCACCACTTTCTACCCACAGCAGGTGCTGTCCTGGGCTGCCCAGCTCCCCAGCACAAGTGAGGGGTCGCTTGTACTCAGCTTCCAGTGGAGAGCTGAAATGGCCACAGCTGGGCCCTCTTCCAGGCGATACCTCCACAGAAAGAGAGCACCAGGGCAGCCCTTGTTAACTGAGTGGTAGTTTTGAGGGGAGCTCAGGGCAGGCAAGGGCACTACAGCAGGTATGGGCCATGGAGCAAGCAGCCCTACCTGCTCCTGTAGCCGGGTGAGTTGCCTACCACTGATAAAGCGCTAAGGGAACCTGATGTATGCATGACCCAGCAGATCCTTGAAAGGTTTATGGTGAGAAAAAGACTCTGGGTAAAGTTCACGACCAACTCCAAGAGGAGAATTGCCATGCAGACACTAGAGTTCTAGGCCAGGCTGGGCCATCTGCAGCAGATTGGTACATCCTTTTTGAACAGCTACTGCTGGAGGGGTTTGGAGACCCAGCAGAGACAGAGCCTAGGACTATTGGAGTACTAGGTGATCACGATGCCCCGAAGGGACCAAAATGTAGTCACTTACATCAAAACCAAACTCAATGTAGCAGAGAGGTCATGAAGCGGAAGTCTTCATGTACACTTTGCCTGATAATAGGAAGAATTATTGCAAAAGATCCTACCGAACCACAACCTTGCACGAAAGCCACCTTTATGGCACATGCTCAGCCTCTGCCTATGGGACCGTGGACACACGTCCGAGTTGTTACTGATCCCTGTAGCCAGGATGACTGTTCCAAAAAACCTATGAGACCTTACTCCTTGTACCTTTCAAAACCTGTTTTTCTTTGTCTCCCTGAGTAAATCTAAGGCCTGCCATGGCTCTCCATGAAACATGTATCCTGGATTTGCAAATGTTCTGCTCATTCCTGAAAAAAAAAATCACTTTTCTTTAGAAAGTCTCTCTGTTATAGAAGTTGCTCCATCTGGGGCTGGGGATTTAGCTCAGCGGCAAAAGCTTGCCTGGCAAGCGCAAGGTTGTGAGTTCAATTCCTGGTACCAGAGAAAAACCAAAAAAAAAAAAAAAAAAAAGAAGTTGCTCCATCAGGGGGCATGTGAGATCCATCAGTTCCTAAGACAGGGTGTGGGCTACAGCTCAGCCACATGAGCAAGTAACTCAGGCTTCTACGCTGTCTGTCCCCCTGCTCCTGTTGTGCCTCTGCCCACAGTATGACCATATAGGGGAGAGGGTCTTCTTTCTCTGGAAGGCCAACCTTCCAGCATGGCATGTAGTACAAATCAGAAATGTCTGCTGCTGCAGTGTAGCCATGAGCAGTATGAAGCTGACTGCCAGGCAGAGCTTTGGACTGTACATCTGGTCGACCCCTTCGGGTATAAGGAAAAGCAGCTCAAGGTCAGGCTCACCATGCAATCATGGCAGGGTTTAATGACCAAGTACATACATAATTTTGATTTAATTCCTGATCTATAAGACTTAAAATATTTTCTAATGTCTTTTAAGAAAAAGTATGCAGATCTAGAATAGGAGTATTTTACTAGCAAACACATATGAGGCCAATGTGCTGCTGCTACTCCTCAGATTGAGAGACCTATAGGCAGAGAAAGGAGTCAGCACATGGATCAGGAGGCATGGATAAGGCTGCTGCTACATCATGGTGGGCACTGTACTGAATCACCAGGGCATCTTCTAGTTCTCCCCTGCCCTCTTCTGATGCAAATGGACAGGCAGAGCAGCCATTGTCTGAGAAGGGCCAGGTGACCAGAGCTCAGTCCTTGCTAGATGAGGACCTGGGGCACCACGTCAGGTCAGCAGCCAATGCCAGGAGGGGCCAGTCACTAGAGAGGAAGGAGAGGACTCCTGAAGGGCTAGCAGGGGAGACCATGAATGCCACCTGTGGTCCAAGGCCAGCTGTAGTGGGGGTGGGAGGTGGTTTTTTTTTTTTTAACTGAGCTTCCTTGTATAACCTTCCCCAAGAAAAGAGATCACCTCCAATCCCAGAGGAGCTGTTCTCTGTGTGTCTGAGGATTTCTAGAGATGGACTGTGGTGGGTGCTGTGCTGTGCCATGCAGATCTATGTTCAGGAATGAAGCTTGGTTCTCCTCACTGCCTTCTCATGGCCTGCACCTCCCCTAGGTGAAGCTCCCCTCTACGGGATGCCTACATCCAACCCTGGGCGAAGGAGGGGTTCCCAGGCTCAGCTCTCTTACCTCAGCTTGGGATGTCTCCAAGGACCATGGGACTGGGGGATGCCTCTGTTGTGACTGCAGCTCAACAACAGCTCAACCATGGTCCTCTCTCTCTGGACCACCTTGCCACCTTCACTCCCTTTGGGGAATTATTCCCAAGGACATTCCCCAATTGGAATGCCAATCTCTATCTCAGAGCTAATTTCCTGGGAAATGAGACCCAAGATAGGTCCTTTTTGGGTGTTAAATTATCCCTCAGTTACACACAGGGATGGGCCTCAGGACCACTTATGGGTACCAAAATCCACAGATTCCTCACACAAACCAGTGTAGTACATGTGTATATAACCTATGCCCATCCTACTGGGTACTCTCCATCATGTCTAAACTATGTTTTACAATCTAAGTGCTATGCACATTGTTGTTATGCTGGATCATATAGGGAATGATGACAAGTGAAAAAGCTTTGTACCTGTTCAGAACAAACACAGTTAAAGAACATTTGACCTGCAGTTGGTTGAATGCACAGATGCAGAACCTGCCCACGCCAAGGGTGGGCTGTATCTACAGGATTTCATCTCTTAGGTTCTCTTCTGTCTTACAGTCTTCAGCAAGAGGTACTTCCCTTTTTCTAGACCTTTTGAAAATAGCTTCCCTAAAGTCCAGGTATACTGCCCGGTATTCCAAATCTGAGCAAACCTCCCAAACCTCCCCCTCCTCCCACTGTCTCCCTCAGTTTTTTTGTGCACTTATCCACAAGCTTTCTCTTTCTCGGCTTCTCCAGTGTGACCCTTGCTCTTTCCTTTCTGTCCCCAGAACCACCACCTTTGCTCCCTGAGGACTTGGGCTTTGGGCAGTGCAGCAGAGGAGAAGTATGCAGGTCCACGGACGGCTTCTAGCCTCCAGCCTCCCCTCGTGGGCGCACGGGAATGGGTCAGTGCACGAGGTGTGTGCGATTCTCCCAGAAACCGTGTTGTCTGGAATCAGGTTGCCCTGACTTTACAGGACAACTCTTTCTGACTGTGGTTTTCCAAACCACATCTTGCTCCATCCTACCTACCTCTTTCAGGTGCTGTGGAAGAGAATTCCTGGGTGAGAAGGTGTACTTGGTCTTCTTGTAGATAAACCACAGCAAGGCAAAGCATCCCAGGAGCACGAGGAAGACTACAAAGACCGAGCCTATGAGGATGAAGGCCACCAGCCAGGAGGGAGTTGTTTCTGCAGGGACCAGGGGTGGATTAAAGTCTTAGCATGTATAGGTTGGGCCACGGTGATCTTAAGACCATCTTAACCAGCCCCTGAAAACAGGGCCCACACATTTGTCTTGGGCTGTATCCCAGAAACACAGAGGTTCTTTGAAGAATCCAGGGGCTCTTAGTGAGTTTGACCCCTTCTTATCTTTTTTTAAAGTTTGGTTTCTGGCATTATTGCTGATACACATAACAAGATCTTAAGCAAGAATTCTGATCCATTTAACCTACTCACAGGGTGGCGCTGTGTTGCCTGTTGTGAAATACCTCCTCTGCCTCGAAGCAGCAAGCTGACTTCCTGGGCCCCGAGCCCAAGGGAAACAGAGGCCTGGGGGTTGGTACTGAGAACTGCAAACACTCTGCGTACTAAAGACTTCAAGGTATTTGACCAAGCTCAGCAAGGCTTCCCAGGCCACAACGGTCCCATCACACCTTGGTGTCATGGAATGAGCCATCTCAGAAGTGGGGGAGGTCTCCTCCTCCTGGGCCAATCAGGGCCAGAGACCATGCAGAGGAGGCGGTTGCCATTTCTGAACCCTCCAGGAGTTTGACCTGTGTGGGGTGATGTCTGCGGCCCAGGGGTGGGGTCCATGCAGCCTACCACAGTGCTCAGACCAGCAGCATTACAGGCTGAGCCTCTCATGACTCACCGTCCTCGGTTGTCTGCTCACACACAGGCTCAGTCCACTCCCCAGTTTTGTTCCGATCAGGAAGAAAGCCTCGAACTTGAATGCAGTAAGTTGTCCATGGCTCCAGGTTCCTGATGATCTCAAAGTCGTACTGCACAGTGACCTCAGACTGGTAATGAGACAGTACCACTATGACTTAGCAGTGAAGGGGCAGCATTTTTTCCTCATCCTTTTTCTTTTCCCATGTTTAACTGTTACACATTCTGCTTTAGGCTTAACACAGGACAAAGCAGGAGCACATGCTCCTCCCAGCTCACTCTGGGGACCCTGCCCACACTCTAAGTGGTGCAGTAAAGCCTGTGATACAGACAAAACATCTCGCTGCACTGATTCTCTGGCGTATACCATCCCATTTCCTTTTTCTTTTTGAAAGAACCCATTTTAATGGGTTGAACTATGTCCCATAAAATTTCATTGCTGGTGTCAACTGTAGTGCCTGGGAACGTGATCTCATTTGGAGCTAGAGCTTTTACAGCAGTAACTGAGTTAGGATGAGGTTATGAAGGTGGCTTCCTAACCCAACATGACTGGTGTCCTTGTAAAGAGGAGCGATCTGGAGGCGGGCACACAGGGAGATAAAGGCAGAAATCAGGTGATACTTTTATAAACCAAGGAGCGCCAAGGTGGTGAGCAAACCTGCAGCCCCTAGGGGAGCAGCACGGAACAAATCCCCGGCAAGTTCAGATGCAGTATGACCCTGCAGACACCTTGATCTTGGACTTGTAGCTTCCAGAACTGATAGACAATAAATTTCTGTTGCCTTAGCTACTCGGTCTGGGTACTGCGTTATAGCAAATAGTAGTACGCTGGTCACAGACAGTAAAACTCAATGCAATCTGGTTTTTTTTCTAAGAGCATGTTTCTGATACAAGCTGTCCAGGGTCCTCTACCTGGTCACCCCCTCCTGAGGCCCCAGCTCACTCAAAGGGGCAGACTGAGCCTCTGCTCTGGCAGCTGCAGTTACACCTTCTCTCAGCTGAACGTGGACTTAGGATCTCATAATTAGTGATGTATTTCTGAATTTGAGAAACCGAAATAGTTCCTGGCAAATAAAAGGAACTAAAGAGCACACAACGCAAGCACAGACATTGTTTTTTGTTTTTATTTACTTCAACGATTGGTTATGTTTTTTTTGGAGTCTGGGCTGTTGACAACCTGTCAATATATTTTTATTGCATGAAAAATTAAGCTCACCGAGGGCAAGAACTGAATTATTCCCAATGATACATGATATAGATGGAATAACTTTTTTCAACTTTTTCGTTATTGTTGTTGTTTTTGAGACAAGGTCTTGCTTTGTAGTTCAGCTGGCCTTGAACTCACTATGTATCCCAGGCTGGTCTCTAACTTACGGTAAGTCTCCTGCCTTAGGCTCCCAAGTACAAGATCTAAAGGCATGTGCTACCATGCCTGGTATGTGGAATAACTTTTATTTTATTTTATTTTATGTTTTTGGTTTTTCTCCGGTACCGGGAACCGAACTCATGACCTTGTGCTTGCCAGGCAGGCGCTTTTGCTGCTGAGCTAAATCCCCAGCCCCTGGAATAACTTTTAATAAGTCAATTAGAAAGCAAACAAACAAACCAAACCAAAACAAAGCAAAAAACAAAACACTTCTAACAGCCCAATGTTCCTAAAACTTTATACTGCAAATTTTCAAAGACTAAACTCACAGGCTGACCCCTACATGGCCAGCAGGTGAGGTGGCAGCAAGGATGTGAAAGGGCCACCCCAAGTCCCCTGTAAGGTTTTTTTCTGTCCTCTTACCTATAGGCAATTTCTAGATTAATCATCTCACTTTCTCCTATGAGAAAGAAATGGAATTTGCAAAAACCCATCCTGTTGGTAGTTTAGGGAATTAACCTGGCACTGTCTCTGAGATATTTAAATACCAGCTTATAAAAGGGAATCATATAAGCTGGTAATGGTGACATGGCAGGTTCCTTTCAGGGAGGAACTAAGGAGCAGGTGGCCTTTTCTGGGTCTGTGCGTCTTACTGAAGGTTTCTTTTCTTTCTTTCTTTTATCCCCCACATTTTTTATTAGTGCATACTGGTTATACAGATAAATGGGTTTCATTCTGGCAGATCTGTACACGCATATAACATACTTTCATCATCTCCTCCTTCACTCCCTTGGCCCCACCCTCCCCTGCTACATACTGAAGGTTTCCACACAACCTGGCAAAGCAAGAGGACTGTGTAACCAGATGTCCGTGCTGTGGGCATGTGCTAGATAAGAAGCTGAATATGAAATGTGGTTTGCATTTCACACTTGTACAGGAGGCACTCAGCCGTGGTGACTGGGAAATCGGATCCTTATTTAGAAGATACTGGTAACCCTGGAAGCCAGTCAATGGGTCTTATTCTTAGTCCTAGGTGCAGCGACACCTGCACCTGCTAAGTGATTCGGAAACTAAATATTCTGCGTTGGTTTCCAGGCATACATTTCCTGCAGTCTTGCAGAGAAAACTTCCTGCTTTGTGAAGAAGGCAGATTTCCCGCATGCCATGGTTTGAATGTATGTGTCCTGCTCAAATTCCTATGTTGAAACTTAGTCACCAATGTGATTAAAGTGGGGTCTTTAGAAGGTCATGGGGGAGAGCCCTCAAGAATGGGGCTGGAGACCTTATAAGAGGACTGAGGAAGCTTCTGCCCTTCACCTTCATCAAAGGACACAGCAGAAAGCATCAGCTGCGAGGCACAGAGCCAGCTCTCACTGGACTCTGGGTCTGTGCGTGCCTTGACCTTGGACTTCCTAGGCTCCGGAATTGTGAGAAATGTTGTCTATTGTTTATAAATTACCCAGCCTGCTGTATTTTACTAGGACAGCAAAAACAGACGAAGACACTGCATCATTTAATAGAGAGTTTGAGGGGGAAATTAACTTGATTTTTTTGGTTATGCAGTGTGTGTGCATAAGTTTAACTCTATCAATAAACCCGGGTGATCTCTTCCTTCCAAACTCTTGTGCATTAACTGACAAATATTTCTTATGTAACAGCTCTGTAAGTCAGTTGAGGACCATGAATAGCAATCAGCTTTAAACTGCTGAGTCTTGCTCCTCATGAAGGGAAAGGAACTCCAGGTAGTGACCATACACGTTGTTCCAGGCAATGGCGCAAGCTTATGTTTTTCATTTTGACATCAAGTTCCCCAACAATCCTATGAAGTGGGGTATTCTAACCTGTTTTCTCAGTAAAATAGGTCCTTCTGCCCATTTTGCAGACCTGGGAAAGCTGAAATCAGATTGTGATCAGAGACCTATGGTGGCAAGGGTAATACTCCAGTCAGGTCTTTTAGCTCCAGCCTGTGTTTTGAAAGGAACTATTCCCCCAAAGAAGAGAGCAACCGGGAAAATGGGTAAGAAAGGTAAAACATGATACTCTTTACCCAGCACCCTGAGGTAGCAGGGCTATGGATTGTGGGTACTGATCTGTGGTATGCATGGGGAATGGGAGTCCCTGTGCATAGTGATCACCTGACCCCAACTTCCTCCATCCAGCTGCTGACTCAGCCCTGCTTCTTCTGCAACTTCTCTTCCAGGAGGAAAAAAATCTGCTGTTATTGTGTAGAATTCACCCTGAAAATCTGCTTTATGTACTTCCCTTGGGAGTCTGGGAAAGTTGAGCCCAAAATACCAGTTATCCCACAGCTTGGGAAGCTTGCAGCTTTCAGAAAAGGACTTAGATGCCACTGGATCATAGGTGCTGTCACCTTTGCACCCTTGCCTGGGTGGACTCCTGGTCTCCTCTATCATTACAGTCTCAGACTGAAACTGTGCGAAGAATGCATATAATTAGGAAGTCTTACCTTTTTATCAGTGCCATTTTTCCAGTATTGCACATTATAAACCCATGAGTCATAAATCTTCCTCATGGTCCATGTATAGGGTTCATTCTCAATTGGAGGGGCTAAGAGACGCATCTGTAAAGAATCAGCAAGTGCTTCTACATGTACTAGAGGAGGTCCGATAACGGCTAAGTATAAGAATAAAGAAAAATGATTAGAACCACATACAAGCTTTACTTCAGTGTTATATGTTCACAACTGTGCAGGACAGTTAGTCTACTTAAGTACACTGTTACTGACAGAGCACTGCTGTGTCACTAATTGAAGTGGCTAAAAAGGATAGATGGATTTAATTTCCTTAAAAGAACCTAGGTAACCTTTATTAATCAAGTTTAGTCCATTCATGTTTATTGTAATTTCCAATACATTTAGAAAGCATTCCCACTATATTATTTTGTGCTGTTTGTGTAGGCTGCTTTTTAAAATTTTATCTTTTGGTACTGGGAATTGAACTCAGGACCTTGCGCTTGCCAGGCAGGTGCTTGTGCCACTGAGCTATATCCCCGGCCCTTACAATTTTACTTTATTGGTTCTTTCTCTTTTTTTCCTGCTTTTTGTGAGCCTAAATTTTCTTTTCCTGCTGGACTAGGGGATACAGATGGTATTTCTATTTTCTTTACTGGTTACCTTTACATGGTTAACATATGTAATTACGCATGTATTCTTCTAACTTATCTTTCACGAGATACACCTGTGGCTGTCCCCTTCATTTCCCTTGGATCTGTGGTCAAACGTCATCAACTGTCCTCATAGACTGTCTCTTATCACCCAATGTAAATAGTGGTTCCCATCTCTTCCTGTCCTGTTAGCTTGCTTTGGTTTTCTTGAGAACCACCGTTACAACCCGTCATAAAATATGCACCCATTTGTTTATTATCACTCTTCTGATGAGAATAGGCTTTTCAGTCTTCTTTGCTGTTGTGGTTTTAATACTAACAATGTGCCAGGCACATAGTAGGTGGTCAATCATTATCACAGAAGGAATAATAAATAGTTCTGGGAAAATGTGCTATTTGAGTCATGTGCTATATTCTCTGGCCCTGAATATTTTTTGGGGGAGCTGCTAATGAGCCCCTTCCCATCATTCTAATCTGGTCTGAAAACTGAACAAAACAACTTGTTAGATATTTTTTCAAAGTGAGTCTGAATGGGTTTGCCTGATACAAAATGACGGAAATATATAACTTCCAGAGGTGACTGTCTAACACAGGGCTGGTATTGCCAAGAGCCTGGACACAGGAGCCTGAATCCTTGCTCTGCCACTTACTACCTGTGTGAACTTTCAACAAGCTGCTTACCCTTAATTTCTAAAGGAAACTTCCTCAGATGGGGCTAAAGGTAGGGTTTGCTTGTTTGTTGTTTTTTAAGACATGGTCTTGCTATGTAGTTTAGGCTGGTCTTGAACTCCCTATGTAGCCCAGGCTGGCCTTGAATTCACACTCATGGCGATCCTCCTGCCTCAGCCTCCCAAGGTGTATGCCAACCATGCCCAGGTTCAATGCACTTTTGCCTTAAGACATTTTCAACATATGATAGTGTTATATAAATGTAACCCCACTGTAAGTCCAGGAGCATCTGTAATATATTTAGAAGACTTGACTACTGTGAATCTGTAGTTTTTGTTTGTTTTCACAAAGAAAGCTTTAGAAAAGATTATGTAACTTTGATAGTTTCTGACTCCAGAAATAAGCATTTGTTGTTGTGGTTGTGATTGCTTGCTGCAATGCAACTGGGAATCAGAAGGACATCCTGGCTTCATTCTCTACCAACAGGGTGAAACCGTGACCTTGGTTTAATTTCCTTTTAATTCTTGATGCCCCAAATATGTTCATTTTAGAGCTTCCGGCAGCGCCGTGTGGCCTTTGATCTACCCTAGGAGATTCTGAAATTTTTCCACTGCCTGACCCAACCCATTCACTGTGAGCAGCATCCCTCCCTCCTGTCTTTCCCCTAGGCAGGGTGTCTGTCTGCATCTGGCCCTCTTGCCTCCACACCTGCCTTTCTTCTTTTCCCTTTCATGTTATATTTCTTTGGTGAAGTCACAGTTCCAAAATGACTTCCTCCCAAAAAGCTGTCACCTGAATTCTTCTAGTTCTTCTCATTAACAGCATTCATCCACACTTACGGCAGTGAAGTTATCAAATGTATAGTTAATTATGTTATTGATGAACCCAGACCCCCATGTGCGCTAGGCAAGTGCTCTACTACTTAGCTACAGTCACCCTGTTTTTAAAGATTTCAGACAAGTTCTCACTAAGTTGCCCAGGCCAACCTCAAACTTGCAATCCTTCTGCCTCGGCCTCCTGAGTAGCTGTGAACTTCTTTAAGGCCACAGCTCTCTCTGCTACATTCCCTAAAGGTCCTTGTGCAAGGCCATCCTTTTCACAGGCACTCAAAGAATTCTTGTGGATGGACCAACCACTGTGGGGAAAAACCCAAGACAAAATGATGACATCCAACACAATGAAAAAGAAAATAGCTTACTGTCATCCAGGGGGCAGAAAGTGATGTTTACCCAGTCCGAATGCTCATCTGCAAACTCTGCCCTGACTCTGAAGGTGTGGTCACCATACTTTGAAAGACTTGAGAAATCACATTCCGTGGAGGTAGAGCTCTTGCACACGTCTTGGAATTTCTTATAACTATACAACCAGAAAGACAAAATCATGAGAGCTCTAACTTGACTCTCCTGAGGCTGACTGGTGTTTTATACCCTCTGCTACCAAAGACTAATGGGGGTTATTGAGAGAAATGTAAAGCAGTTCCTAATGATTGGTCTTGATGAACAGAATGCATAGATAGCATTTCCCAAACTGTATGCTAGTAATGATCCTTGGATACCATAAGCCATTTCAAAAATAATATATCACATGGTCATATAATTTTGGGGGTAACAGTATAAAAATAGGTATCTTTTAAAATTTATATTAGTACATGTTTTCAGTATATAGTAATTGTACTCATTGTGAGGAGTTGGTACACAAACACAACACATTTTAATTCTTTTTTCAACCCCTTCCTTTTCCTTCCTTCCCTACTTCCTCCATCTTTTGCAAAGGATCTCTAAAAAAAGACAAAGTTATCTTCACAACAGAACTTCCGAGGGAACTTTACTCTCCTAATAAGCATGTGTCTCTCCAAAGAAGAGCTGATTCTTCAAAACAATTTTCTGGACAAAGAAAGCTTCCTTCCTTGACTGTGTATTTCCGAAAGCAGTGGGACATGATTTGTGACATAGTGACACACACAGATTAACAAAAATGACTACAATGATTTCAGAAAATGTCCTAAAATGATTAGCACTGCAATCCTGGAAAGACTGTAAGGCATTACATCAATCTCAGCGGAACAGTAACCCCAACTGTAACCACCAAAGGGAGGGCAGCAGAATGTCACATGAAGAAGAAAAAGGGTGGCATCTGGAAACACCTGCTGGTAGTGGAGCAAATCCTGTCCCCAATGACTTCACCCACCGTGGCCCAAGGAAGTGTAATGAGCTCCACGTGACCGGAGGGACAAGCTTCCCTTCCTGTAAGTGCACAGGCAGACTGACTGGTTCCCACTGCACCTTCCTGTCTAGGTGCCAAAGCCCATTTGGCTGCCCTAGAAGCGGCAGTGAGGGTAGTGGCAATAAGGATAACAACAGCAACATTAATGCAGCTTGGGGTTAGGATGTGGGAAGCCCAGAAATGCCTGGCCACATGCTGGTCTGTTTGATTTCAGAGTCTTGGGGTGGAGGAATCACGCTTCACTGCATTCTTAGTGACAGCCAGAAACATCCATTGCAAAAAGTCGGTAGGGACAATTGCGATCTTACTATTTTACAATCTGCCTTTTCCACTTTATATACCACAAACATTTTGTTAATCAACTCTTCATGGCTGCTCTAACATCCCAGTGTCTGGAAGCTCCAGAGGTCACTTCATCAGGGCGTTTCCTCACACGTGGTCATTCTCAGTTTAAGCTAACTCATCAGTTTCTTGACACACACAGCATTTCAAAGGTCATTCTACAATAACTTCTTTTTCACTAGGTTATTTTATTGAATTTATAAATATTTTTCTCCACAATTAAATAGGTAGTAGGACTCATTCCTCTTATTTACATGAAATTATTGGCTATTTCCATATTGAAAGCACCAGTATACCCTCTAAAGTGCCCCATTCTGGCTACCCCAAGCCCAAGGTACACATGCTACAGAGAGCTCATGTTGTGCAGCTGCTCAGGCTAAATCCTAAGCAACCTGTTATGGAGCCACAGAAGCACAATCAGGGCTTTCAAGATTGATTTCTTCCCCAAGGTTATGCCCAGCACATGCTGTGCTCTATCTGTAGCTCCTGAGGAGCAAACCAAGGGCCCCAGGTACAGACTCTAGGTCAGTATCTCCTCCTGCCCCCACACCAAATCACAGGGACCTCTCCTCTAAAAGATGAACACCCTAAACCAAGCACTGCTGCTACGACGGCAAATAAGCAAGGCACAGAGACCCGGAAATAAATTATAGGGAAGAGAGACAGAGCGAGGTGCAGTGGTGGGTTTCGGTTTGTCTCCTCTGAAACTCTTGTGGGAGTCTAGTCTTCACTGTGGGGTACAAAGAGGGTGGAAACTTAGTCAACCCTGGTGTGTACAGGAGGGGACATCTGGAGGGGTTAGGTCCAGATGAGACCATCAGAGTAGAGCCCCCACTGAATCCCGGTGGCTTTATAAGAAGACAGAGACATGAATGTGCACATGTGTGTTGCCTGTCTCTCACCATGCCATGCCATGCCCTGCACTGCGTTGGGGCTGTCCCAGCAAGAAGGCTATCAGCAGATGTGGCCTCTCAGCCTTGGATCTCTACAGCTGTGAGCCAAAATAACCCCCTTCTCTTTATGAAGTTCCCACCTTCAGGTATTTTGTTATAGTAATGAAAAACTGATTGATACAAGAAGGAAGTTAACTTTCCATGGTGAAATCTCTATGGTTTTTCAGATGGAGTAGAGAAAACAGAGATGAAATGATAGAACCATATCATCAGAAAAAAATAAGTTGTTGAATGAGCCTTCTTCAACTGTACTCTGGACTATAGACTGGCTGAAAGTATTGCATCAGCGTTAAAGGTCTTAGACTGCACTGTATGATATAAAAGATGATCCTGTTCTTATAGAATATTATATAAAATTGAAATATTAAGGGGCAAAGGGCATGATGTACAAGAGAGAAAGTAGGGAAAGGGAAAATGGGGCAAATACTAATAACTGGTGAATCTGGATGTAGGATATCTGGAAGATTTTAGTACTGTACTCAAAATTTTGAAATGCTTTTGTGGTGGTTAGGGTGAAGTTCCACCTTGATTGGCTCTGGGATCTGCCCTGGGGACAGATGGAGCACACTTGTACATGTGTCTGGGTGGGTCATGGAGGGTGGCCTTGGGCTCTAAGTCTGGTCTTTGCCCCTTCTGCTGTGGCATTGTTCTTCTGTGGCTCTGCTTCCTGGTCGCCATGAACTAAGCAGGTTTCCTCCATCAGGCCATCCCACCATGACATCTCTGCCTTGAAGCCAGCCAACCATAGACTGAGACCGTGAGCAAACTAAACCTCACCTCCTTTAAACTGTGTTAAGTATGGCATCTCAGCGACAAGATAGTTGTCTAACGTGGTTCTGTAATACGAAATTATTTTAACCCCAAAACAAAAATTTTAAAACCCAATATGTAGACAAGGATTGGCTTCTTCTTTTTTTCTAAATCTTTGGCTTTAAAGGCCTTGGGTGTGCTCCTAAAACAATAGACCAATAGCTGGATGGACGGAGGGCAGATTAAGAAAATCTGGAAGGGAATTTCCTCCTGCTTCACTGAAGAGTTTGCCTATTTCCTATGTTTCTGAGTCACCTGGGGAGCGGGTATGTCAGCTCATCGGCCTTGGGACTTCTGCTGCCATTTGCACCTGGCATGAAGGTGTGTCCCCTGTCCACCCTGGCAAATGGTGGCAGGCTGCCAAGAGAGGGCAGGTGTGGACTTCCTTCAGTAGACCCAGGGAAATATGGACAGGCAGGACAATCCTGCTGAGATAATTGTCCAGGGTGACAGTCACCCTTCCTTTAGAGTCTCAGGTGCTCTCAAACAATAGAGCTTTTGCCAGCGAACAGCTGTCTGACTTTCAGTTTCAGGAGGCAGCTGCAGGGACACTGAGCGCTCACTGTGCAATTCAATTCGTCTGTGCCACTGGAGGGGGGCAGCTGGTGTGGTAGCAGGGGTCTTCTTGACTGCTTTGCAGGCCTTGGTGCTTTGGACAGCTTCCACTGTACATTGCTGGCTTCTAGCGGTATAACGCCAATAACTGCAGATGACAGCAGCAACGTTTTGCTCTTAAACAACTTCAATTGTGACAGATGAGCTAGGTTCCACATAGCACCAGGCTATTACTGCGGCTAATTCCATCTACACACATGACAAAATATCTGCATCTACCCACAACCCTATAATAAACAAACCAGGACCAAACACAATAAAGCAAAGCTGACCACAAGAACGTCCTGGACAGAGAGAAAAAGGCCAGCAGGGAGGCTCCCCTGGGCTGTCACAGCTACATAGGTGACAGTGGTCAGATTCCTGCCCTCCTGTGGCCCGGCCCAGTGACTAGTCCAGGACCACCATTCTTTTGCAGCTTCCTGCCAAGAGCCTCAAAGACTCACCTATGGTACTGAGCGGTGAAAGTCAGGTTCCCTTTGGGAAAAGCGGGCGAGTCCCACTGTAGAATGTTCCTGAAATTAACTGAATTCATTCTGACATTTTCAGGAGGTGGCACTATCCCCAAGGCTGTAAAAAATAAAGGAAAACGTTTGCAACTAATTTTCCTCTAAAAGGTTTCCCAAGAAAGTGACCACATCCACCACTTGGATTTCCCTCACAGCTCTGTGTCACTCACATGGGTGGGTGCGGGGCACATTAACTGCCCGGGTTGACTTTTATTTGGAGAGCCACAAAAAGAAATTTCAGGGTAAGGGACAGGTGGGAAGCAAGAGTGACAGGTGGGAAGACAGGTGACAGTGACAGGGTGCAGCTGGTAGGAGAAAGTGCAATGGGGTGGGGTAGGGTGGGGCTAGCGGATCTCAGATACATTTCCAGAGATATAATCTCTAGATTTAGTGATAAATTTGATGTGGGGAATTTGAGGTTACTGTCCATTTCTCGCTTAAATACCTGGTACTCCGCTCAGAGCTGGGGCAAGAAGCCCCAGGCCCATTTTGGCAGCTTTAGATTGGAGATGTTGGAGAAATGTCCCAGTAGGGACATCAGGGACACACCTGGATGAATGAGCCCGGAGGTCACATAGAGGGCAGACGTGCGCTAGAAACAGAAATTATTTTTAAGCTTTTAAACAGGACTGTAGGGGCTGAGGATTTAGCTCAGTGGCACAGTGCCTGCCTGGCAAGCGCAAGGTCCTGAGTTTGATTCCCAGCACCAGACCAAAAAAATAAAAAATAAACAGGAGTGTAGACTGGTAAAACTGCTATGGAAATCAGTGTGGAGATTCCTCAAAAAAAACTAAGATTAGGGGTCCCATTTGACCCAGCTATTCCCCTTCTGTGGATTTTTCCAGAAGAACTGAAAACATACCACAGTGACATATGTGCACCCATGTTTATAGCAGCGCAATTTGTCATAGCTAAATCTTGGAAACAAACCAAATGCCCATCGACCGAGGAATGGATAAAAAAGATGTGGTATTTTTATACAATGGAGTATTACTCAGCTATAAAGAAGGATAAACTCAAGACTTTTATAGGTAAATGGATGCACCTAGAGACCATACTCATAAGTGAAATAAATCAGACTCGTATGTGCAAACATCGTATTGTCTCCCTAGTGGGAGAAACTGAAAGAGTAAATTAGATCCAGAAGGTACAACAGATATTGTGAAAGGGAGAGAAACTGCTCAAAAGGAAAGAACAACTGGGATGGGGGAAAAGAGAAAAGAAGGAAGAGAAAAAAAAAAAAATATATATATATATATACACACGACATAGCTAAGATAATTGTACTACTAATTTCTATTAGTTCATTGAAAGGTACAGTTAGTGCTTATATTGTTTGATCAGTTTTACATGCCTATATCTGGTAATCTGAGCAACTACTTTGAAGATAACAATAGGCAATATAACAATCATTGTTCATTTCCTATCATCTTGTTTTAAAATTCTGTATTTTTTTTTACTCTCTTTAAAATAAAAAAATTGTAAAAAGAAAACTATAAACAAAAGCAGAAAGAAAAACATCATCTCATAACCACCACCTATCACACAACTGGTACCAAGACACATTTGTGAAAAAGTCACAGGCCTGTTTAATGCCTGGCTTCTGCACAAATCCCCCCAAAGGACAGCGTAGAGAAAGGAGAGAAGGCGTGGTCATGAAGGTAGCTACAGCCAGATCTGCTAGAGGAGGATGCCAGGTCCAAACAGCTTGGGAGGCGCGGAGGGGGCGACCCGGGAGCCGTCTCCGAGCAACGTTTGCCCTAAAGGAAGGCGGGGCTGTAGCGCAGTCCCAGCCTGGGCAGCACCAAGCACCTTAGGGGCGCACAGACAAGGTTTGATTGGATCTCGAACTTTAGAATCCACAGAGCTGGGTCGCTGAGGGGCGGAATTTAGATTTCAGGGCCCAGAGGACTGCCGAGGACGGTGTGCGGAAGTGGAGACAGCCCTGGAGAGCTTTTCGCCCGGGGGCCGGGGGTGGCGGGAAGCGGGTCTAGGAAGGGGTGGTCTGCGGGGAGGATCTGGGGCGCGCGCGTGTGTGTAATGGGGTCTCCCCCAGACCCACCCGACTGCAGGAAGGTCTAAGGCAGTCATGCTGGGCGCGGAAAACAACTTTTGTTAGAACTCGCCGGGAATCCCTCCACCCCTCGAGTTTGCACGCTAGATCGCGCGTAATCCGGGTGCCCAGGGTGGGGCTCCTCCGCGGCGGGATCAGGCAGTGCGGGATCTCTCGCCTCGCGGCTCCACATGGCACGCCGTCGCTTTCGGGGTGCAATCTGCGCCCCTTTCCCGGAGATCACCGCCCAGCGCGAGTGGCACAGTGCAGCTAGCTGCGCCGCCCGACTCCCCAAAGCCCCGGGGGTTCCCCCGCGGGGACGCGCGGCGCGCACACCAGCCCCCCCC